GTTGGGTGGTCTCGGTGTGTGTGTGCCTCTTCTCTGTGCTGTGGCTGGAGGTCTCAAAGTGGGGGTAGAAGGTGTTGAGGTCATCTGGCAGGCTGTCTGTGGAGCTGATGGTGCTGGTGGTGGTCCTGTAGTCTGTGATGTGCTGCAGGTCTTGCCACATCCGTCCAGAGTCAGCAGTAGAATAGAAGCCATTCAGCTTCTCTCTGTACTGCCTCTTGGCCGCTGTGATGGCTTTCCTCAGTCTGTACTTCACAGTTTTGTACTCCGTCTCCTCGCTTGATCTGGATGCATGAGAGAGAGCACGCAGCATCTGGCGTCCCTGACTGTTTATCCAGGGCTTCTGGTTGGGGAAGCTCCTGACTTGTATGGTTGGCACAATGTTGTCGATACAGGTATTAATGTATCCGGTCACATACTCAGCATAATTCTGTACGCTGACAGAAAAGTCCTCCGAGGTGGCTGCAGCTTTATAACACATCCCAGTCTGTCTGGGCGAAACAGTCCTGCAGGATGCCTTCAGCCTCTGGGGTCCAGAGTTTAATTTGTTTGGTGACAGGGCTTGTTTGTTTCAGTCTTTGTGTGTAAGCTGGATACAGGAACAAAGAAATGTGGTCTGAGCGTCCAAGGTGGGGGCAGGGTGCGGCCCTCTATGCACCACGTATGTTACTGTAAACATGATCCAGAGTGTTCTTGCCCCGAGTGGGAATGTTTACATGTTGGTAATATTTGGGGAGTACAGTCTGTAAATTGCACTGGTTAAAGTCGCCTGCAGTGATAAATACAGCATCGGGGTACGCTGTCTCTAGCGCACTGATGACATCATAGAGTTTACTGAGAGCCATAGAGGGATTAGCTCTTGGGCTAACATACACCTCAGCCAGAAACACAGTACTATGCTCTCTTGCTAGATAATAGGGCCGGCATTTCAGCAATAAAAACTCTATGTCTGGTGAACAGTGCTTATAAACAGTCCGTACATCTCCACACCATGAGTTATTGATAAACACACACACACACACACACACACACACACACACACACACACACACTGCCTCCTTTTACCTTCCCCGAAGCAGTGCAGCTGCTATAAACATGTTTTTTTCTTTTGACAGTTCACAGAAGAGAAACTTGGCCAAGCTGAAAAGACAGAGTTGGATGCTCATTTGGAGAATCTCTTGGTCAGAGCTGAGAACACCAAGCACTGGACAGAGAGGATCATGAAACAGACAGAAGTCTTACTACAGCCTAACCCAAGTAAGACCACACTTTGGACTTTATAATATCCTCAACTGACAGTGTGACAGCTCCCCAAAAGTGAAGCCACTGTAAGTCGATTGCCCCGATGTAGCTGGTTGTGTAGGTCATAAATCCCGCTTTCTCCATTTTAGTGGATGAGACATGAGTCAAACTATAAACTCGAAAGTATAGGGCTTATATTCACAAAGTGTCCTAAGCCCAAAGAGTTGCTCCTAATGATGAACTTCTAAGAACGTTTTCAGAATTGTAGTGTTTTCTAAGAATTTCTCCTTGAAGTTGAGATTAGATTGTAAAAACAAAACTGATTCACAAAGCACCTTAGTCCCTAAAACAGGCTCCTAAGGTGAATACTGTTAAAAGTAGTGAGGAGGGCTTTTAGGAGGCTTAAGAATTTTTTAAGCAGAGGATAAAATAATGGAAAGAAAAATCTTGAACAACAGTGAAATAATCAAATGCTACAGATTCCTTTTCTGTCACAATCCAACATCAGCAGTGGTCACACAAACTGTTACAAGCACTTACATGTCTTGTATTGTGACACTACATTTCATTTCTACTGTATTTTTTGCACCTTGTGCAGTCACAGACACAGCCTACACATCATCAGAAAATGAAGATAATTTTTTAGCCATTTTCCCCTGTTATCAAATAGTTTTAAGTGGATAAGTAGGTTACTAAATTTACCAGCATGGTAAATACACTTAAGCAATTAAATATGATGGCTATCAGCTGAGTAAACGTGTTTGGCTGAAATTAACAATCATAGTCTAGTTGTTGTAATGAAAAGTTTTATTTTACAAAGGTTTATACAGATTTGACTCTCTTTCCTAAAGTCACTTTTTGCATCTGGTTTGCTGGTGCTATGACTGTAATCAAGTTTTCTTTTTGCAAACTGCAGATGTCCGGCTAGAAGAATTTGTGTATGAGAAACTGGAGAAAAAAGCTCCTACACGAATGAACAACCATGAGCTGCTGGGTCAGTCCATGATTGACTCAGGAAATGAATTTGGTCCTGGAACTGCCTATGGTGGGTGATGTGCTGCGCTGCCTTACATACTAGGATTTAAATGATAACACCAGTGATTTTCTATGTTTTGGGGTGTTGTCCACAAATGTGTACTCCTCATAACTTGTGTGCATCCAGACCCTAGTGTAGCTTATTGGTCTGTGCTGTAAACTTCCATTCTTGTCCAAAACTATTAAAAACACACCAGTGAGCCACCCCACCATCTTATTTCAAAAAAGAGCTCCATAATCTCAGAGTAGCTCTCACTTCTTACAATCTCTGAAGTAAAAAGAGTGCAAGTGCACCTGCATAGTTGACTCTTTTCATCTGTGTGTGGGATTTGTGGAAAATAACCAAAAATTGAAAATCGCTGGTGATTTTCTTTAAATGAACATTTAGCCCCCATTGATTTGTGGAATATATTTGTCTACTTTATCTGTGGAGTCAAATGTCTGTTTTAAATTCTACAAAGGCAACTAGGAAGGTGGCTCGTGTACCTCTGATTTATTGGCCCCGTTCACACTCGGTATTAAAATGCCTCTCTGTGATCCGAGCATAAGTGGACCGCTGACACACATCACCGTTCACACCTGACAGTATACGTGTGTCTCCATGGTGTTCTGCTGACCATATGTGTTCAGATTTCACTACTGCTGCAACACTTTGCGCCACGGGCACAATTATTACATCAGTCTATTACCTGACAAGTCCCAGTATTCTTCCTAACTAAAGAAGAAGAAGACAAGCATCAGATTTGTACATGGATGTATTATGAAAGCTTTTATAATACAGTGATGAATTTGTATCGGATGTTTGTTTCCATTTTTCTTCTTTCTGTGGAGCGTTGATGCACTCACCAACACAATTGCCATTTCCCTCATTGATGACGCATTTTCCTCTAACGTCCTTGTCAGAGACACATAAGGACACATTAGTTTTTATACTACAAAAGATAGGTGGTTAAATGCGGACCACTTCGGCAAGTGGTTTCAGTGATTGTGGATCACTACCTGTATTGGTGGTTGTTTACACTTGTATTTAGCACTGTCCACTTGTGAGTTGATCACCCAGGACACATTTTAAAAATAAGTCTAAGTGGGGTCTATAGTAGGTCAAAGTAGGTGGTTGACAAACACAAGCCCCTCCTATAATATTCCAGCAAATGCATTGTTATACCCCTTGTACTTAAAGGCCCACCACGCCCCTACTCATCACATTGCCTCTGTGCCGAACCTCTTGACCTACAGGAAACTGTGCAGTCTCTAGGCCAATATTGTGTGAAGTCGTTTTTGTGCTGCTAACCCTTTCAGGAAACGCTCTCATAAAATGTGGTGAGACAGAGAAGCAAATTGGTGGGGCAGAGCGGGAGTTCATTCAGAGTACTGCCATCAACTTCCTGACACCTCTCAGAAACTTTCTAGAGGGTGACTTCAAAACCATCATGGTGAGTTGGACTCTTGAGTTTTGAATCATGTCCACTCTTCACTGGATTTTTAACTGTTATCTGGAATAGGGCTAGGTATCAGTACTGATTTCCTTGATTTTTTTTTTTTTTGCTCCATGAATTTAAATTCAAATTACTTTGATTCAGTTCAGTTTGAATGACTTTTCAGAATCTTGGTAACTTTTTTCCTCTCTACAGTCAACAAGTGAGCAACACAGTTTTTTTCCTTGAGTATACAATTATGTGAAGTTCACATTACAGAAAACACATTTCCTCTTATTTTTTCCTTGGCAAATGTAAACATGCTCAAACACAGTGCATGTATGTTTTTGTAGGTACTTGTGCAAAATGGTTGAGCGGGAATAATAATAAAAAAAAAAACAAAAAAAAAAAACATGCACGAATAACAAGGACGCCATCCTTACACATGCTACAGCTACATATAGTAACAGATGCTTCAGCTAAGTCCAGACATCAACTTTAATGATGGCGCTACAGGTCACTATACGCCATAACAACCAGACACAAGGACAGTTTCTTCCCCCAGGCCATCAGTCTAATGAACACTTAACCCATGTTTGTATATATAAAAGGTTACAACAAACACCCCAATGCAGAGGTTACATTAACCAGATATTTTCCATTACTGATGGAACTTTTTAAAATGACAAAAATCTGAATGCTGTCATCATTTTGACAGATAAAGAAAATGCAGAGGGCAATTTAGCCTAACCTGCAGTAAAGCCCAGGTTTTGCTATAGTGTGGCATTGATAAATGAGGTGAAAAACGAGGAGCTGATGTGGTGGAAGGACAAGTGTGAGACTGTACTCAACATTTTTCAGTGGCGACCACAGGTGCTGTAGCCTACAAATAAAGCTAAATTGAATATCTTTCAAACTAATAAAGATATCAACATCTTTCCAAATGCCAGTAGTAGGCTTTCATGGTCAAGCAATCATAAATAAGGGTAAAACTATAATGAGGAATACTGCTCTTAGGGCATTGTGGGGAAATTGAATTGCCATTGGCAGAGGTTGAACTCTAAGGAAAAGGGCACCCCTCTCACTGACAGTTATTTATTAAAACCGACAGTAGCACATTTTTTATTTGTCTGCATGTATATATTTATATAGTAATACACTCATGCAGATATCTTTGATAGTGTGTTCGCACAGAGACCACGGTCTTTAGTAGGCTATTCACTATTTGTAAAACTACATGGTGGCTGTCACTGCATTACAAAAGTAAGCCCCACTAGACTGCTGCTGAGCTACTTTTTCTGCAAATTTGAATGGACTGCTTGTCATTTGGCAATGCTCTAATAATGTTTGAGGTACTAAAAGTCCTGTAACGTAGGCCTATAACTTCAATAAGGTTAGTTTAGCCACATTAGAATGCTAACAAAATACTAATATACAGCTAAAGCAGCTTTATGTCTGTGGTGTATTATTTTATAGTTAAAATAGACTGCATGCCTATGATGAGATTTGAGACAAAATATTAATAGCAGGCATCTATATCTCGTTCAGAGCACAGTAGTCTGTTAGTAAGGATACCAGTGTTCCAGCTGCACTTTATAGCCGTGTTCCACCATCAGAACCTAACTAGTGGTACACCCCGTGCCTCAGTCTCTGTTTCTAGGAGACACTCACTCACTCACAGCTGGGCAGAGGAAGAGCACATGATGTGAAGGATCACTCTATACTGCAACAATCAGCCAGCAACGGAGACTGTATGACCAGTTTTTCAAACAGCCATTGAACAAACAGGACACATACTTGGAGAAATGTCTTCACCGCTTTGCCACTCACTGAAGTCCTTGTTTTTCTTGACTAACTTTCAACCTAATGATATCGGCATCATTCCAGATGCTAGCTGTAGGTTTTCATGTTCAAGCAATCACATTATGAGCATCATACTATCGTGGTTTGCTCAAGTCCACATCCCCATAATATGGTGGACTTGCTCCTTGGTGGAAGTTGGACTCTCTGAGTGCTGTCTAGTTATGGTTGTGTGTTGACTCAGTACTTGATTTTGAGAGAGCAAAACTTAAAAACAACTTGGAATTCAATGTTGGAGCAGAATTCAAATGGGAAACAAATTCAAGCCTCTAGTGTAATAGCACTGTGCTCCCCACCCCACTCAGCTTTTATTCTCTGCTGTTAGTGTAGGAAAATGCAGCGCTTCACACATTCAAGCTTTAATGTTATGTTCCATCGGAATATTATCTAATAATTAAATATATTCACTACAAAATGTTGCATAGGCTATATAGGAACATAATTTTTAGAAGAGAAAATGTCTTTTTTGGCCACGACTGGTGCTGTGGAAAAGTGTCAGAGCTTCTGTGAAGGAGAGCATGACAGACCATGGTATATTGCAAGTTTTGCTATGGTGTTGGGTCATTACACATGACAAGTGCAGAGCCTCGGCAACCGATTTTGATTGACAAAGAAAATGGCACTGCTTTATAGCAATGCTACAGCACAGTGCTAACATTAGGTGCTACCACAACAAATTCTGTAAAGCACCTGTAGGACCAACATGCCAACCTCTGTAAAGAGTTTCAAGAGGTTTGTGACAGCTCCCATTTTGTAAAATATTATGCCCTCGGGGTGTCAGTTTTTCCCTGTGGTACTGAAAACGGTATAGAATACATATATCGTTCAAGGTATCGTACCCAACCTTTCAGTCTACCATAAAAGGCACTGATCTCATCTGCATGGACGCTGTGACAGTATGTGTTGCTTGGAGCTAAGAGTTCTGTATTTAACAGTTGTATTTTGTTGTGATTTGTCTAGAAAGAAAGAAAACTTCTGCAGGTTAAGCGCCTGGATCTGGATGCAGCTAAAACCAGGCTAAAGAAAGCAAGGCTGGCTGATGCAAGAGCAGCGGTAAGAACACCCACAGAAACATCCTCATCGGTGGACCTGGATAGTTTCCTTTTTTCCTTTTTTTAATGCTGAATAATAACCAGTGTTAGTAAATTTTGCTTTCATTGAAATCATTAATAGGAATTTACTTGTTAAGGTTTGTGAGTTTACCCAGCTCCAGAGATAGGGGGAGAGAGCTGGTCAGTCTCAATGTCCAAAACAACAAAATTTCAACAAATGTTCACATACATTAATTGGCTCAAAGTCTGCTTGCTCACAACAGTTAGCTAAATGAGTATGAGTACTGCATTATAGTGTAAACATATTTATTCTGCAGTGCCAAAATCATAACAATGCTAATGGTATTCTACTTCTGTTTTATTAGCATATGTCAATCTTCAATAGGATGCAACTCTTCTACCAAAGTGAACCATTTGTTAACAGCAGAAACCTCTAAACACTAGCCAACTGCCATAAGACTGTCTTCCCAATAAAGGTGCAAATGTGGTGGAAAAAAAGTGATATTTCAGAGAGGTGCTGCTCAGGTTTCAGTGTCTTGCCCGAGGACACTTCGACATATGGACTGCTGGCACCAAGATTCGAACCTTCAACCTTCTGGTTGGGAGATGACTGCTATACCCACCGCACCACTGTTGCCTCCCCAAGTAGAGACCCAAAGTTAAGAACTGCAGCAGCAGGGTAAAAGTAAAGAAGGATCAGCATTTGATCAGTTATTTTAGCCAATACAGATCCTTTAAAATAGGCCCAAACCGGCTTTGGACATCTCCGTTTATTAGTCAACTTGTTTTCAGAGATAGAAGAGCTTTCTGGGCGTTTCCTCTGTATGAAGTCAGACAAGTCATGACATACCAAGTTACACAACGTAAAACAGACCATTTTATTTCTTGTAACTTGGAAACAGTCACATGAACAACTGTAGGAGTTTTACACTTCCCTTTTTCTGAACAGTTGTTTTCTTGCTATGATATCCCTCTCTCTTGGTTTTTATTTGTGTATTTGTCCTTTAAATACTGTAGATATCCCTCTCTCTTCGTTTTTATTTGTGTATTTGTCCTTTAAATACCCATTTGGGTTTGAGCTTCATAAGCTGAAATTTTTACCATGTTTCATGAAAGTGCATTTATCCCAATGCGATCAGTATGAAGAACCACAGCTTTGGTGAAACATGAGCACCAAGTGGGAAATTGAGGGTTTTTAAACTTCCTACAATACAGGTGAAACATTATATTTATTCAGTCTCTGGGGTTTTAGAGGTTTGGGAATGTAGTGAACTCTGTTTCTCTAGTAACAGAGTTATGCTGATCTGTCAGTTTTTAACTGCTTATCTATTTTAAAAACGGATCCAGAAGTTGCTTTGAACTGGCATTTCAGCAAAGCAGCTGATATTCTACTGCTCCTACAAAGAGTACCTCTAAATTGTGCATTGTAATGTCAAAGTCAGGGATGGACATTAAAACACTGTACAAGATCCCAGCAAAGCAAATGAGATGCAGTCTTCAAAGCATCTCTGCTAAATGAGTGGCTTTTGACCACAAATGCAGGAAGAAACAATTTTGTTGAGATCCAGTTATCTTAATTTCCATCCCTATATAAAGAGCTCTTGTATGCCCCTTGACATATTCAGAGCCCTCAACACACACATTTTAATTAGCTTTTCTAAATAGCAGGGTTGTCTCATGGTTTTTGACAGTGTGTGCACTGTCAACACTATGTTCACTCATGAAAGAGAAATTTGTCACCATAATTCAGGAGGGGAAAATCTTGTTTTTTGTTGATCAGTACCAGAGGCCTTTACCACAAAGCAAATTCATCTTAGTCTGGCGAATTTGGGATTATCTGACTTCACAGGGCCTAACATTGCCATCCTGGATGGTACCACCCGGTACCACAAAGCTGATTGTCAATTGGCTTTGTTAAGTCTAAGTTTTCCTATCAGTTTCCAAGCATGTTCATGTGAAAGAGGCAGAGTTGTTGATCAGAAACAACTTCGCCAGAACCATGAGTGAAGTATTGACTATAAGATGGAGCGGTGATACATGTAGGATAATGTTTATAGTCGGTGCAAAAAGTGATGTTGAGGTAAACTGTGAATGGTAGTCTGTTGTCACATAAGTATAATAAAATAAGAAACTATAAATACTATAAATTTTATAATGTCAAATAAAGGCTAAGAATATACTGTAAATGAGTGGAGTATTATTGTCAGGGTGTTACTAAAGGAGTATTCTATTTTGTCTGATGATGAAGAAACTATTGTGACCGTGATGGTAAACACTTTCTGCTCCCAGAGAGGAGGGGAGAGGACATTGGAGTGGTGTTACCCCTAAAGTCACATGTTCATTTATAATTGTGGATTATTTATCTGATTAAAGACTAATTATCACAGATGTTGTTCTGTGCTGCAGTGAGGGGAAACCTATAAAAGCACTGACAGTCAAATAACCTGTGCCTTTAAAACCGTGTTGCTCATCATGGAGGCTGTAGACTTACCTCCATTTGTTAGAAACTCTGCGTAAACCAGTGTGACCCATGGAAAGCCTGAAACAGCAAAACAAAGTGACTTCTCAATAATTTGTGCATGTGTGTTCATTATTTTATTATTACATTAATGAAAACTCTTAGCCATCCCTGGTAGGCTAGTGGTTAACGCGCAGCGCTCTCGCCGTGGCACCCTGGTTTAGAATCCAGGTTGCGTCAAGAAGGATCCAATAGGAATCAGTTTTACCAGAAATCCAATCAGCCATTGGTCAGGTTGTTGATGCACCGATGTCGATACAGTATCAGGTCCGTTACCACCCTCTAGTACTTGTACTGGTAAAAGTTGTCCCACCAATATCATTTAACAGCAGCATTACGTTAACCTCATGCTGGCTGAGCCTGTCATTAGGTGGCAGAAAAGAAACTTCAGTGGTTCGGGGATATTTTAAGATACGTGACATCAAAATATAGCCAACTTCAAGCTCAGCTTTTCTGTTGTGTGGGTGTGTGAGAGGGCCCCTCCCTCCGCGTCTCACACAGACACAAGGTCACATTTTACATGATGTCTTCACTCTCCCTGCGATCAAAATGCCCGGGCTGTTTCCCCATTAAACCCATACTGTACTAGTTATGCTGATTGTAGTGAACTGTTGTGAACGGGAAGACAACAAACACTAACTTTATGTAGTTAACAGTGATGTCAAATGAGCCCTGTGTATGAAAATGAGTTGAATTCTTGTGGATGTGGAGGCTGAGACCAGCAGCTTCTCTGCAGCAGGGCAGGAGTGTATCCAGTAGAGGGGATGGGATGGTGCCACAGACAGCACTTACTTTAAAAGAAGAACATGTACGTTAAATTAATCATTTAAACTTGTGACTGTGATAACACTTACTCCTGAACTGCGACATTGTGGTCAGGGGGTTGTGAAATCCTTTCATCCTAACACAGTCACACTCGTACAAAGGTTAAAATCAACTGTATTACAGTCTGCTGTAATGTGTAGCAGGATGCAAACATCGTCATTTACACGTTATACAATGGGAATGGTGGCAGTGCTGTATTGGTCGTCACAAAGTTTTCAGGTAATGTGCACAGTCTCCAGGTACTAAGGATATTCTGTTTAATTGCTATCAGTTGATCTCATGAATTTGTCTCAAGTCATTGCACTTTTATGGTAATTGTAGTTTTTTTTTATAGTAGAAACATTGCATCATTAAGTACTCTGTATTGGCCAGTACCCAAATGTAAATACTTGGTCTGAAAAAGGTGGTATCGGTGCATCCCTAGCTACACTGCTTTCAAAAGCCTGGTTTTGTCAAAGCATGCTGTGATGGTAGGCTGGGGGTGTGACTTAATTGTCACAGTGCTGCAGTTTGTAACACAGTCACATGTTTTTGTGTCACTGTTTTCAAAACGCAAAGCCACAGATGTGAGCTGAGGAAGTGACTGAGGTGAGTGGAATGTTGGACCATCTTTGAATTGAACAGACACCAAACCTTAGCATAAATAGTAGTGTCGAGTGCTGCAAGCCTCAATAAGCCATTGTTCCAGCTGGCCTCATATTGACTCTTGGCTCAGTATGAAGAAAAAGAAATGTTTCCCTCAAACTTCATCTTCATTTGTTGTGTCCTGTTCCCTGTTTGTACTTGTCCTCTTTTACAAATCTTATGTCTTTTTAAATTTTAATTTATATTTTCTGTGTGCTCTGACTTCCTTTGTTTTGACCTACTGAGGCCACGTTGTATCATACTGTATGCACACACAGATTCTTGGAATACCACCAGGCCTTATGGAAAACCCATTTCCCCAAGTTCTTTTGGAACAAACTTTTTTTATTTTTAACCCATATTTGAACCTCCTGATAGTATTATAATTGGTTATTGCTGTATCAGAGGTGGAACTGCCTACTGGCCTAATTTTGAAAAAGAGGATGACAATAACAAACCAATTTGTCCTCCCTACCTACCAAAAACATGTTTGTTCACACTTTAAAACCATACCTTTGTCCTTGTACAGCACTGATTACAGTCATGTTATAAGGAAGTCATACTGTGTTTTGCATGTTTAGATCATGTAACCATTATTTCCTGAACCCAGACATGTTTGTTGATGTTTATAAAAACCTTTTTTTTTTTTTTATTTCTTCTCTCTCAGGCAGAGCAGGAGTTGAGGATGACCCAGAGTGAGTTCGACCGGCAGGCAGAGATCACCCGGTTGCTGCTAGAAGGCGTCAACAGCACCCATGTATGTAGTCCTGGTCAGCCAACACAGCTTCTGACTTCAAAATGATGTTGAATATCTTCCTGCCTCAAGCTTTCACTATCATTCGATCATTAAACATAAAACGTTACATTAAGGAACAGTACTGTAGTGCTGCTGGTTTTGTGTAGCACAAGGTGACTTCTGAATCCAAGCTACCCTAAATATTTTTATTTAAAAACAAAAGCTTATTATTGCCCTTTCCTAATGTTAGGGGAGCTGCGGGAGAGAGAAAACAATGCAGGGTATACACAGGTTCTTAAAAGTCTTAGTTTTTACATGATGTGTTCTGAGCAAACAGTCCTTAATTGTTTTTGTCTTTTAATGAATTAATGTAAGGCGGACCAGAGCAAGCAGAACCCAAGGCTTGCAGGTATGTTAACCATGGCTGGGGCTTAATAGTTGGGTTGCTATTAGTTTCCGCTAAACTAGCTTCATGTTATAGCTGTGGCTACGTCCATGTTTATGTTCGTAGCCAACTGCTTTTATAACTCAAAGAAGAGAAGAAGTCTGCATTTCTTCAGTGCTGGGTGTATTTTGGCGAGTTGCTCAGACACTGTTGTTAGCAAAGCTCGGTGGTGAAATCATTCAGATAGCAGCTTTCTGTATGTTGCTGGCCCTGATCTTCACTGTCTCTGATTAAAATGACAAACAGCAGGGTGATATCAGCTGTGGCTAACGTTAATTCTATGGCAAGGATAGTTGGCCAACAAGCTGGGCAGCGGCCCTGGAGGACCGAGATTGGCCACCCGTGACATAAGCAGACAACACCTGCTCGTAAACAAAGATTGTTTATTAGGTAGAAGATGTCACTCTGTAACATCACTGAACAATCAGTGGACTGAATGTTTCTGTGGCTCATTTTTCCAACACAGCGAGACATCTCTAGTAAAACTGTCAGCTGATATTAATCAGTTTCAGAATCTCCCGATAAAAATTTCATTCATATCATGTTAACAAATCACACAGATCAATTTTAGTTTCGAAACAGACTTAATATAATGGGTGAATTAGTGCAGTTGATAGATTAAAAAAAATTAATCGCATGATTGTCCATAGTTAATTCATGATTGATTGCAAATTGATTGCACTTTGTGCCTTTCATCTTTAAAATTTGGAAATCCTTTAGTATACACTTAGTGTTGTACAGAGATAATACAGCAAAACATTTTGGAATATGGTTATAAAATACTGCATTACTGCCAAAATGGCCTTATAAGGATGCTGCAAATGCTCTGCGGTGAAATAATACGATACTTTAAAGTACTAGAACTGTTAGCTTATGAGTTAACAGATTATGCATTAAAATTGTTTACATAATGTGAATAAACTGATTTTAATGTGTTAAATTTGTAGAGTTTGATATAGGAAGATATGTCTAGCAAATCTAACAGTATAAAAATGGTAACGAAAATTTCTACTGAATTCTACTTAAATGGTTATGGAGCTAAACATGTCAGAAATCAAAAGGGTTTTATCCATTATAGAAACCTACTGAAACGTCCTGTAGAGTAACACTTCTCATGGGTTCTGGGTTTATTTCTACTATGCTCGGCCCGCTTTGGAGGTGCCACACTTTGATGCTCCACACATCAGCACCCCTCATGAGGTAGTACTAAAATCAAGAATCAGGACCATGTGGGGGAAGGGGGTGTGTGAACAGAGCAGTTGCCGGTGATTTGTTAAATGTCTGTATCTTCACACCTCAAGCTTTAGCATTACAAGCACTGTGTGCAAGTGAGAGAGGGGAACAGCCCCTCCCTCCTCTAAACGGAGACCGATGGAGAGAAAGTGCAGCAGAAAAACAAAGCAGGACGGTCTGCATCTACACCAGAGGCCATGCTTGTAATGGTTAACAGAAGTACAGGGTGTACCACTCATTAGGTTCTGATAGTGGAAACTTAGCAAAAGGGTTAGTAATTCTCTCACATCTTTCTTTGGGGATTACCAGGCACACCATCTACGCTGCTTGAATGACTTTGTGGAGGCCCAGACTACATACTATGCACAGTGTTACCAGTACATGGTGGATCTCCAAAAGCAACTGGGCAGGTAAACTACTACCACTGTCACCTTTAATTTCTTTTGTCACGAATATCTCCAAATAAATGATTTCTTAATCTGGTGTCACTAAGCCGGCAGTGTTTCCATGAGATGGGTACAAAACGGGTAAAATCACATACAGTACAGCTTTTTTAAGATGCAGGATCCACCAGAAGGCTGGGTTAGAGGTCAAGCGTCATTAACCTGAGTCATTTCAAGTAAAAAAAAGTCACTTTCGACTTTTCCCGTTTAGGGGTCGCCACAGCGAATTGTCACACTGACGACTCGCATGTTGACATTTGGCACGTGTTTTACGCCAGATGCCCTTTCTGACGCAACCCTGATTCGAACCCGGGCTGCGCCTTAACCACTAGCCTACCAGGGATGGTCATTTCAAGTAATAGTGTTAATATATTTGTATTTCATAAAGCAGTATAGTTTTATTTTTGTTCCCATCTAAAATAGTTCAGTAGTCAGCCTGCCTTACTGTTAGGGCAGTCTTTACTTCTTGTAAAGACAAGTGGTGCTGACAGGTGTTCTTATTATTTTATGCTGGTGGAATTCATGTAGCACTGCACAAAGTTTTCAACTTTCAGCTGAAAGAGGAAACTGACTAATACTGATTAATGGATGATGGAGCTTAGTTAGGGCTGAATTCACAGGGAGAGGTGACATAAAACATTAAAATGGATACATTTCCGGAATCAGCACATTAACACTGAGGAACATTTTATGACCCAGACCTGCAGTTGACAGTGCTTGTGTTCTTCCTCATCCTCTTAAGTTTCCCCTCATCATTCTCCAACAACAACCAATCAGCCGCGTCAGGTGGTACTAGCATCTCAGTGCCCACCATCCCAGTTTCAGCCTCCCTGCTCAGTGTCTCTTCAGGCCATGGCAGCTCTGCAGCTTCAGCCGGATTCAGTGAACTGCGTAGCTCCAATGGAAGCCGCAAAGCCAGAGTCCTCTATGACTATGACGCTGCCAGCAGCAATGAGCTTTCCCTGCTGGCTGATGAGGTGAGGCTGAAGCACTTACTCTTTTACTGTAACGTTTTAATGTGGGGGTAAAACCAGCCAAAGGTTTTTATCTATTATTTTTTTTTTTTTTTTTTTTTTTTTTTTTTTTTTTTTTGCTGAAGCCTTTTACACCACCTTTTTGTGCCTAATTTAGTTTAATCCCACTTTTTTAATATAAGAATCATTTCAGCTAACATTAGGAAGCCTCATATAAAATCTAACAAATTTAGATGTTCCTCTGCTTTTTAGTTTTAGGCTCATCAGGCCTTCCAGCTTCAGTCAGTTCCTGTCTGTTCAACAGAACATGAGCAACTCCCTCTCCTGGAAAAGAATATCATCATCTATGTTAAAATGTCATTTATGGTATTACCTCATTCATTCAACCACTCACCTTCAAACATTTTCCATTCTGCACTCGCATTTACTGAGCCAGCTGTGGCCTGAACTGCCTTTTTATTTATTTGCATTACATTTAAGTTCTAACAAACCCACATGTACCCATTAGTATTGTCAAGAGAAAAGCCTGTAAAACATCCTACTCCAAACTGACAACAAATGCTGCAGTTTACAGAGATGTGTGTGATGGATCTGCTTTAGCCATTCTCTCAGTTTTGACAGCACAGCCCCACTTGCTCCTTCCATCAATGTGACCATTTTGGCCTTCACATTTCACATCCTCCCTAGTTCCTTTTTTCAGGCCCTGGCACTTCTTGCTAGGACTGGTACATCTGTCACCACTAGCAGCGGCATCCTGGTTTCATGTTGTATCATGGTATGATGATTGACGGTTATCACATTGGCTTATTACTGGTATTGAAAGAAAAAAAAATGCAATGCGTGTGCACCTTTATTACCCCTTTATTATTTGTCAGACAACGTGCACCACATGCACACATGCAGCAAACAAAAGGCAAAGAGAAGCAGTTTATAATTTTATAAACGGTCTGGCTCCTGGACAATCGGATGGATTTCTTGAATGTCAGTTTTTGTCCACAGTCCAATTTCACGCAATTAATCGTGAAGTCAGTGCCCTTGTGCGAGTACCACAACAACAACATAACATGGTGCAAATGAGATATTGCACCTTGTGGGCAGAATCAATTGAAACAAAGCTACAGTAGTGCTGAATTTTTGAGAAGCTTGAGAATTTGTATTACACAGTTCCTGCTCAACAAATAAAAAAAATCTGGTAATTTCCAAGTTGAATCTGGGACCAATGACCAAAACATGGAGACAGAGATGCACATTCACAGTTGTTGCTCTCAGTTGTCTGAAACTGTATTCTGCATGTGTGCAGGTGTTAAACTGGGTCGTGAAATATCCTCTCAGCCTCTGTCTTATTCTGAACACACCCTGGAGGAGCTGGTCACAATTTTACAATTGTGGCACAGGGGCAATAACTCACATATTTGATGTAGTAGAAGCCTTGTTAACATAAACAGGTGAGCTGTTGCACACAGATTCACATTTTATATATAGGAACGAAACAGCTGTGGTCGAGATGAGCCCAGCACTGCTGCTGAACAAGGCTTTTTCCTCTGAGATTCAAATGCTTCAAATCTTTGTGCTCATGATAGGCACATATAGAATGTGATGATTAATCAGCCATTTACACAGAAGCACTGATGTTTGCTCATGTGTGATATCCTGTGAAGACACACAAACAAAAGGCACTTAATGGCTCATGGGTGTGTGTGTGTGTGGTCAGAAAGGCCTGTGCGTGTACGCCTCTATTTTTGGGCACAATTTCATTCTAAGATGAGCACTGAGACTGCACTAAGCTGTCAAATCAGCATAAACAGCGATGTGAGCAGTGACTGTCAGCTGTTTGCGTTCCGTGGGAGCACTTTTTCTCTGCTTGCTGCTTTTGTCGGGATCAAACTCTCAAAGTGCAAACATAGACATGTCCGCGTCCCTGTGGAAGTCAGTGTTTGAGGAAATTGCAACTGAACAGAGTGACAGCAGGGTTCTGACTGATTTGACCTGCTTATCAGTAAACATGATTAGTCAGAACATGTGCAGGGTATATTTATCTGTCATAATTCATAAGCTGCTTTCATGTGTTTAGTTCATGCACCTGTTGTAGGCTATGTGGATTTTGTGTCATATCTGCAGTTCTTATAGACCGACTGAAGCAGGCCTCCTCGGCTCAGGGCCCTCTCTCTCTCTCGCTCTCACTTAACATTATTATTAATGGAAACAGGCCCCATCAGTGAGTTTTCAGATTGAGAGTGTGCCTGTGCGCAATGGTGGCACAGCAGCAGAAACTTCATAACTTAAATCTGTGTCATGGCCTCATAGTAACCATATTGATGTGGGCTGTCACACACAGTTTGGTGAAACCAATTCAAAGGTGGGGGAAAACTGAGTCCAAAATCTTAATTTTACACTGATCTGACAGTTGAAAAATACAGCTTTAGGAAATTCAGTTTTCTCTTTGTCACTTTTCAAATAGAAAAATGAATCGTTAAGTCACATGGCCCTTGTTTATTTTTAAGTACAAAATGAGAATTGATCTGTTGATGAAGTAAACACGCATCCACCATCTGTGCTCCCTGTCTTTCCAGGTGATAACCGTCAGCAGCGTCTCAGGCATGGATTCGGACTGGTTGATGGGTGAGCGAGGCAGTCAGAAGGGCAAAGTGCCAATCACCTACCTGGAGCTGCTTAACTGAGGCCCCACAGCTCCCCCTTCAGCTCCCTGCAGCCGACTGTGATTACATATTTATATTGTGTTGCTGGTGTAGCCCTCACTTTTCATTACATAGGAGGAGTTTTATTTGTATGACAAGAGGATGGAGCGTCATTGTTTTAGGAAACTTAAGCTGTAGTGAATATAGTGAGCAAAAAACATGGAGTCTGTGTCTTTGCAACTGCAGTACATTTTTTAAAACCTGCTTAATTTGCCTTTGTGGTTCATGCCATGCAGTCTTCAGTATATGACAGAACATCTCCCAAAGTGTAACTCTTTAAAAAAGGTTTTGTTTAATATATATATCTCAGGTGGTGACCTAGAAGTTTTTTTTGTTCCCTCACTGCTAATTCAAGTTTTCCAAGTATTATTACTGTAGATCATTTTAATGGCAGAAATGACCTCCAAGTTTAAGTGCATAGTGATGATGATTGTATTTAAAACATTATTTTATAATTGATAATCTTATGGTTTGGTAGCTGTAATGGATAGCTTAAACATGGATCTCTTTTTTTAAATGTTATATATTGTGCATCAGTTTCATTCACATGGAGTTTCATTGCACAGTGGGTTAAACACATTGTACATTTTACTGAAGTTGGAGCCTCCTGATTACCAAGCGGTCATTAAACCCGCATGTCAAACATATTTTCTAGCCATGACAGTTAATCAGCCTTTCCAGTTTGCACCTAGAGATTTAAAAGTTTTGATATCATTCTTCAGGTTTTCCTAAGCATTTCAAATCCAAATTGGAAACAAAACTTTTGTTACATTATGGGAAGTATATTACCATGCTGCTGCCTTTTGTTTTTGTGCAACTGTTAGCATTCAACTAAAATAAATCTACAATGTGGTGCTTTAACATAATATATTTGTTTTGACATCTCATTTTACACTTAGAAATGCACATTTCAGTACATGCATAGTTAAATGTAGCCTTCATGTTTGTGCTTTGTTGTTTACTGGTGGAACCACTAGATGCCAGAGCAGACAACATAATCACTCTGTGTGTACTAGCAAATGTAGCTTGGTGCAAACAACTAGAGGTTTTATAATTTACCGTCTGTAATTTAGCAGAATCATAATAATTTGAGACAACAGACTGAAACACAGAAATGTGTCCTGTTTCTAAAAGGTTATGACAATGTACCTGTTCATATCTTCATCAAGAGCATCATCTCTGAAAGCTGTTGTCCAATACAGCCACTGGAGCTCTGCTGGTTTTATTTTCATTTTGGTAGTCAAAAATATCTGTCATAAGGTTAAGAGGAAGTAGAATTTTGCAAACTGACTGCTGACTTACAAAGAAGGTTCCTGCACATCAGCTTACATGGGATAATGACCTCATTTTCCAGTAAAGTCCATTAATGATGCTTCAGAGGCTTCCCTAGTAGCCTATTAGCATCCTGCACTGGCAAAGCTTTGTATCAGAACGGACCCTTTACCTGCAGTTATCTCTAAATAAACTCTGGACGTGAACTGACCTGTACCTGTAATTAAAATAGACTTTAAGCTACAAGTCACTCACTTTAAAGTGCTTGAGAGTTGTGTCCTTGGAAAAGTATCGATTGACGCAGCACTTGGGCTCCTGTAGCTGCTTTCTGAGTGAGGAAGTGCCAAGCTTGTGGCTATCACATGCTATTTGACACTTTTTACAAACAGCAGAGAAGCTGACAATGTTAGTCTGTGATCTCACCAAATTTGTCCCATACATCCAACCTGGCCTTCAGTGGTGTATTGTCCACAGTTTTGTGGCTATTTTCACCTTAAAGTTAATGATTTTGATGCATTGATATGTAGCCCATGTTGATGTCTGATTGACAGCCTGTTAGCTGAACATGACTTTAGCAGTCAAATTGTGGTCTTCACACAACATGTTATTTGTTATTTAGCCTTGATAAATATATGCAGAGTTAGATATAAGATAAAAGAAGTTTCACATTTATTTCTAAAATTTTAATTATTTCACCAGATAACCGCCCGCATGTAGTGTATATTTACCCTTGCCTGTACCTGTTAATATAAACATTTTTTTTTACCCGTTACAAATCCTTTTTGCAGGTTACCCTGCAGGTGCACTCCACCAATCAGGCCTCTATGGTAGAGCAGCCAGACGAAAGCCATTCCTCACTAAAAGGCCATGACGGCCTGCTGGGAGTTTGCCAAGAGGCACTTGAAGGACTCTCAGACCATGAGAAGCAAAATCCTCTGGTAAGATGAAACAAAGACAGCTATTTGGCCACAATTCCCAATGGTGTGTGTGTGTGGAGAGAACCAGGCACCGAGCATTAGCATGGTTGCGAAACAATGAAATGTGGAAAACTTGAAAGGGTCGGAAACTTTATGTACTGACTATAGATTCAGTTTGTGTGTCAGCTAGTCAATTGGTCTGTCACTTTTAACAAGTGTGAAAATTAGACAGATATGAAATGTTGTATTTTTATGTTGCTCAGAGGATAAAACTTAATGACTTTTGTTATCTCCTGACTTTTCCTCAAGTGCCACTGTGAATTTCACGTTTGTATCTTTGAATGGAAAAACCACATCTCTAAATAGCTACTGAATAAAATGTCATTTTTAGACTCAAGTGCAGTTTGTGCCAATTTTAATTCATACATACTACAAGTACACTGGTGGAAAATAACTAAAGTAACTACATTTACTCAAATACTGAGCTACTATTTCGAGATACTTTAGTATTTCCATTTTATAGTACTACTACATTACATCTTAGAGGGAAATATACTTTTAAAGTACTGTGTTGATCTGACAGCTTTAACCACTAGTTAGTATAAAGAGTGAGATTCTAAATATAAAATATAATATAATCCTGTTAAAGCAAATGAAAAACACTATTATCAGAATATAAACCTGTTGTTGGAGACCTTCCCCCCAAAATTTCCCAGCTGGTTTCATTGAAATAATGATTCTAGGGGCCCAGCAAGAAAAAAAAAGATCAAATATTTTACAATAACGATCAGAATATTAAAAATATTGACAACAAATATGAGTAGCTGAATTTTCTTTCCCTTTAATCATCTCACAATCCCTCAGATCATTTCACTGATTTGGGTACCGGGTTACCTTTGAATATGGCTTGTCCAGCTGCATAATGAAAATTATACACCATGTTATGCTAGCTACAAAGTCAAGTCAGGATTTGGCTGCCATGTTGTCTTAATGCCCTCTAACGTATTTTAAATGGCTGCGTTTTAACTTCTGACCTAATATAACTGAGTAATCAAGTGAAATTTCTCTTGGCCAACAGTCTGTGTCAAGGTGCCTTCTGCTAATGATGCTTCTTTAGGTTCAAATTGTTTCCCCAGTGTGATCACACTCTATAAGTTGTTTTGTTAGGACAGCAGTTGTGTGTCATCACTCTGGGTCCACTTCTTGCATCCAGTAAGTTACCCAGATATCTTTGCTTTAGGCAGACTGCTGCTAATCTCCCTATTGAAACTGAAAGCCTCAATTTGCACCCTTAAACTCCATGTCTGCTAGTAGTTTTGTTATAAAGTAGATGCTCTGTTTTGAAGATGCTAGTTAAAATGAATCCAGAAGTGCAGTCATTGTTTACATTACATGTGGTGGTTTGTAGAAATCATAAAAGCTTCAGCCTTAAATTCTTGTCAACTGCTGCTCTGTCTTTTTCCACTTTTTAAAAAACCTATTTGCATAAAACTAATCCTCCCTGGGCTACAACAACAAACCATCCATCCATTATCTACACCGCTTCGTCCCAAATGGGGTCGCGGGTGGGGCTGGAGCCAATCCCAGCTGGCATCGGGCGAGAGGCGGGGGACACCCTGGACAGGCTGCTAGTCCATCGCAGGGCTACAACAACAAACCCTCATTCGTATATAACATCCATATTCTGATACTTTGACTGGCAACTTTCTACTGTAAAATATGTACAAATGATGGCATTTCAAAGTTTTAGCAAGACTTCACTCAGTTTCTTTTTTATGTTCCAACCACCATGACCCCGAGCATCACCACAGTGGTATTTTGGTTACTTTCTGGTTAGGCCTCTGGCACTCTGCACAGATAACACACTGATCTATCGGCCTGCCCGCTCCTGAACAACACTGCACATACAAAGGTAATGAGAAATCCACTGATGTTCCCCTCTGAGCTATACAATGCTGATGCTGTCCATACTCCTTATATATTTGTAAAGACTTACTTAATTATCCTGTAACTGCTTTTTTGCCAAGTGCATGGCAGAATAGATTAGCGAATACCAGTATGTGGCTCCAAACAAAGTCTTTGTGAGTACTGACAGTTTGGAATTTCAAGTTGATGTTGCATCTGAGTCTCACTAATGGGAAGAAAACCTCAAACCCCTCCGCTTTGAAATACACAACTGGGCAGTTGCTGCACATCTTAGCAAAACAGGAAATTTCATGTTTCCTCTGCTGCTTATAGCAAAGGCTTGCATCACATTACTTCTGCATATGTTCATACACGCGTACTCACAAAAATACAAACTAATTTTTACATTAGGATTAGGATCTGGTTTTTAGCTGAACAAAACACATCTGTATGAAAACGTGAGTAGAATCTGTTTAAATTGTTCTTCATGAATGTAGACAGTTTACAGTGAAATACAAAAGACATTTTCTTCAGGGTTTATAAAGTATTAGTAAGAGGTGGGCTTCAGACACTTCTTTTTGATTGATTTTTTAAGCATTTTGGACTTGAAGGTGAAGAGGATTATTACTGAAATTCCCACAAAAGAAAGGCAGATGGGTACAAAAAGCAGAATGTACCAGAGCATAGATTCCCCATCGTTTTCTAAACACAAAAATGACTTGAGGTGCTCCACCCTGTGTGTCGTTTGGAAGAGATCCTCACATTCAATTTCCGATTGTCCAACCATATTGATTGTTTTAAATGTTTTGAACCATTCGGTTTGGCAGCAGTTGAATGGATTTCCTGTAAGGAATACAGTGTGCAGTTTAGGGGCCAACATGTTAGCTTGATCTGAGGGGATAGTGGACAGTCTGTTGTCCCTCACATCAAGCACTTTCAGGTCAAGATTTAGGAGTGAAAGAGGAAGATGGGTAAGAGAGTTTCTTGACATGTTTAAATATTTCAGACTTTGGAAAGGGGAAAAGTCTAAGTCTTGTATGTGAGTGTTTCCTAAACCTAGATGCTGTAAAGTTCTGCTGAGGCTCTTTATAGAATGCTGGACAATGAGTCCTGGATTATCGGACAGTTCTAAGTGTGTTAGCGACAACCCTGCAAATGCAGATGATGGCATTCTTTCAAGGTTGCATCCTTTAAGGTAAAGCTGCTTTAGAAGTACAGTGTTTCTCCAATCCACACAAGAAGAACTTGTATCTCTACTGATCTCAGCTTCTTCCGAGAGACAAATGTCAATGTGGTTATAGCTGAGATCCACTGACCTGAGGCTTGGCAGTGAGTAAAATAATCTTGAGGGTAACCACTCAAGATCATTCAGACTCAGGTTAAAGTATGTCAGATTTCCAAGAGTGGTCAGCGTACCTTCATCTGCTACAATCTGTTTCAGCCTGTTATTGCTAACGTCCAACTCGTACAAGCTGCCAGAGAACTGTTCAGAAGTTAGATTTAAGGTTTCCAGACAGTTTGTGCACATTAGAAGTCTGGACAGCATTGACATTTTCTGCATGAATCCTTCAGGGAAATAGTCCACCTTGTTACCTCTTAGATCTAAAATCTCTAGGGAGGAGATGTCACCATGAAGACTGTCATTCCACAACATGGCAGTCATGTTACTCCTGTACTTCTTCAGGTTGTAGAACTCAACAGTTGTAGTCCAGTTAGGCAATATGGTGTTATTTGACAAGTGTCCATAGAACCTAATGCTGTTGTGAGACAGGTAAAGGTTCTTTAAGTGACTCTGATTGGGCAAGAAGGGAAAGAATAGCAGTTTGTTATCAGACAGATCAAGTGTCTCTAGCTGGAAAGTGTCATTGAGGTCCTGTCTGGAGATGAACCACTCAATGAAGTTGTGGCTGGCATTGAGGACCACCAGCTGAGTCATGTGGAAATCAATCAGGCAAGGCAGATAATTAAAGGCTAAGTTGAGCCGTTGGAGCTTGGGATTGCTGTCAAAGGCGGCATCAATCTCAAACAGGATGTTCCTCTGCAGGTTGAGTTCTTTGAGCTGGTGGAGATCCCTGAAGGAGGTCTCATCGAGTCTCTGCAAAAGGTTTCCAGAAAGATTGAGGTACTCTAAAGATGTCAGATTTTGAAGGAGAGTGGCGGCCATTTCATCATTAAGTATATTCTCAGAAAGATCTAGAGTTCTAATACTAAGTAGCTTCTTTAATGCATGCTGGGTTTCTGTGTACCCAATATAAAGATTGTTATTTGCTAAATTCAGGCTTTCTAACTTTAAGTCTTGAAAAGTGTTTGATTCTATTTTCTCCAAACTGTTACAAGCTAAGCTCAAGGTGTTTAATGAGGGGTAATGGAGAAGAGAGTTGTCCTGTAGTGTTTGGATGTGATTATAGTTGAGCTGTAGCTCCTCTATGTGGCCTGGTAATCCTGATGGCACAAAGGAGAGCTTGCCATGGTTGCAGAGAGCTGTTCTTTGTATCTGCAGAAAAATGAAGGGTACATAATTTTAACATTTATCTTTTTGTATATTTCTTTGTGGGAGAGAAATATTCAGGCCTTTTAGAAATCTTAGAAACTGGTTATCTTTGAGTGCAGACCTGCAGTTCACATACATTCTTGTCCCTTTTTAATCTCATCAACTGTTTTATCATGTTCAGGGAAAAAACATAACTGAAATAACTGTTTCATCAGCTTAACTTCATTTTGTGAAGCACTTTTTATTTCTTATATATCAATGAATCTAACTTGAGAATTGTTTCTTAGTTGTCAGCCATCTACCACTTGGTCCAGAAAGAAGTATTTCAACAACTATCATATGAACAGTCATGAAATGTACTGCACATAGTCAAGGATTATGACAGGATACCTGCTTCAGTTTTAATTTGTAAAAGGTAATTGCTGTTAAATGGCTAACTTAAGATTTTCAACATGGTAAACATACCTGCCAGTTGTTGGCCAAGGTGCTTTACATACAATAAAGCCAAAGGGCATATATAAAACACAGCCCTAGAACAAAATTACAGGCAGTTAAAGAGGTCTGTGAACTAAAAGCAAGAGACTAAAGGTGAGTTTTGAGTTGGCCTTTAAAAGTGGGGAGAGTCTATGCCATTTGGATATATAATGGTATGAGCTCACTCTCCTCTTATTTTTAACCTGAACTACTGGTCCTTAGACCTAAGTGACCCGGTGGTAGCACACAGATGTAAGAGTTCCAGGATATAAGGAGGAGCTGAGCCATTTAGTGCTCTATAAGTCATGGGTAAAATTTTTAAATGGATCCTACACTGAGCTGCTGTCTTTGTTAGCTTACCAGCAGTAGCATTTATCTCAAACTAACACTGTAGCTAATGTAGTGGGGCTGTGATCTTGTTGCTCTCATTCTAGCTGGCTGTTCAAAATGCAGTGGAGGAGTGTAAGTATATTTACTCAAGTATTATACCTAAAATTTGTACTTAAGTACAAATTTTAGGTATTTTATTTCAGTATTATCTTTTCATAGCACTTGTTCTTGTATTCTGCTGTATTTTGGAGGGAAATGTACCTTTTACTGCACTACAGTCTGACAGTTTTTAAAACTTTATCAAATTTGATGCTTGGTATAGATTAAACAGGATATACAATTGGAGATGAAATGATTAGTATTTTTACTTAAAGAATCGGAATACTTTCTCCATTACTGCTCCACATGGACGTTTCAAAAATGATCTTTATGGTTTTAAACATATCCATTAGCATTTTGTCTTTTAAATTGATTACAATTTAAGATGTTAAGTTGATTGTGTACATTTTTCCCCAAAAGCATCATTTATAGTTTTTTTAAATTTGTCTTATCACATATCATTATAGTACATAAAACCATTAATAAGAGAGCTTTACCAAGCCTTCACACCAAATCATAATGATCAGCAACTAAAAGAGTCTGCTAGGGCAAACAATGAGTTTTTAGAAAGTAAGTCGTTAATAAAGGGTAATTGTATTTCAGATGTCCATGAAGATGTCCCTTAATCAAAGACAAGCAAAGACAAACCATAGACCTTACATGTTATTAGAAAGTGGGTGGTATTAGTGTAAAAACGACTACGAATTCTGTCATGTACAGTACATCTGACTAGCAACATTTATGGGTTACTTGGTAAATTAATCACTTTGCCTCCCCAGTGAGACAAGATGAAAAATATCACAGCATATAACATCTCTGAAAAAAACTTAGAAAAAATCAACTGGACTAGATTTCTAGGTCGAAGACGTTTCACCTCTCATCCAAGAGGCTTCATCAGTTTTGACATGAACATGTCATTTCCTGCATATGAAGTAGATTTTAGTCTCAGTTCCCAGATCATATGTACACATCTGATGTGCACTAAATTCAGCTTCAGAGCATCAGAGTGTCATAGTGATAATAAAAAGGTTTTTTAAAAAGTCATCTATTATCAAAATTGTACATATAAGTTTGTCCTTTACAGGTACAATATTATACAATACAAAATTCATAAAGATCACACACAAGTTGTGCACTCTTCATCACATCCTACTCATTTTATTTTATAATGGGCTTTCGAGCAGAGCTGAGGACAAGAGAGACATCTTACCAGCTGACATTGGCTGTGTTGTGGATGGCCTGAGACTGCTGTCAGGATCACCCACATGGGTAACAGGCAAAGCAGAATGGGGGTGAGCCTGTGGAATGGCATTTTGACATCCTTGCTGTTGACGAAATGGCAGAAGAAGAGAGAAATATGATGTTTAATGAACTTTTATTGAGTCCTATACTCTTTAAAGCTTATGAAAACACCGGTATTGTGATTTTCACATGACGACTGGCCTGGTATCATGAAATAAGCACCATGTCTTAAAATATACCCTCTGTTTATGAATAACTGTGGAAATCAATTTATTTGCCATAAGTGGATTATCAAAACAGCTGAGGCAGTGTGAAAGTCATAGTGCCAGATGGACACACACAGTGGTCAGCATGGGCACTCTGACCCTGTAGTGGCTGATCAGTGTATACACCCAGTGGTGGTAGAAGTGCTCAGCTCTTTAACTTCAACAAAAGCAGAAGTACCACAATGTAAAGTCATTCCATTACATGTTCAGCAAAATGACTAGAAGTATTGAAAGTTAAAGTAGTCATCCTGCAGAAAATGGCCCCTTGTGAGTGATATAACATTACATATGACATTATTCAATTGTTCATACTGATGCATCAATATATAAACAGCATCCCACTGTAGCTGCCTGAGGTGGAGCTAGTTTTAACCAGTTTATATGCAGTTCGCTATTTTAACCACTGCTTATTAACCTAGGGAAAAGGCCCCTCCAAAGGGTCACCAGATAAATTTGAGATCATCAATTGATTCATGTGAGAGAGAAAAGAACAAATTGTGTGTGCGTATGTGTGTGTATATATGCGTGCACGTGTGTATATCCTCTGACACATGTGGGCAACAGGCAGGCGAGGGCCATCTTGATTCCAGTGGAAAGTGAAGCACAGCTGTTGTATGTTTTTTTTACTGTTCTCTCCACTACATGAATTTTAAACAAGATGGAAACAAGTTATTGTCACAGACTCCAGCTTCCTAGTTCTCTGCGATGTGTCTTTAAAGAGTTGGTGGGACGTGAACAGGAAAAACGATGGTGGAAACAAAACATGGACATATGTTGTAGTATGTACAGTGAATATGTCAGAAAACAAGAGTCCACTCAGAGCAGAGTATATAAACTGTGCTCAACACAACACACCCCCAGATTCACTGAAGGCCAGACACAGCTAGCTACCTTGAATCAGTAGGTGTGAACATACTGTCATAGTTCTATAAAAGAAACTATCTGAGAGTTTTGAGGGGAAATATCTCCAACAGCTAACAGACACCTGAAAACATGACGAACAGGTTTATATTCTATTAATACTGTGTCTCTTATATGCTCATATGTTATTTACATCTAAAATCTCAGTCTTTACTCTCAACAATAGCTGAAGCTGTCAGAGGAATGTGGTGCAGTCAAAGATTTGGCTCTGACATGTAGTGGAGTAGGGGAATAACAAAAAATGGAAATACTCATTTAAAGTACCTCCGTACAGTACTTAATTACTTTTCGGCACTGCCTTCATCTCTAAAAGGTTTTCACTGTCAGTGAAGATTTTCGCTCAGATTTTTACTTTAAATTTTCCACTTAATTTGTTATGATTGAGTACCAGCTAACACCTTTTCATGCTTTTGAGCCAGTTATTTTCCTCATATCCTAAGCTATGTTACAATAGATGGATGATAGAGCTCAGTTTCCTCAATGAAAGGCTGTTTTAGAAAGTTTTGATATTTATATACATATGCAGAGATAATATTAGTTATAGATAAAAGACAAATTACATCATTTATCATCCTAAATTTACACAAAGCATGCAGTGTGCTTCTTGTAGCAGTCACAGTAGTAGTGCACACTGTAGTACTAGCTTAATGCACAGTGCCTTTACTTACTCTGGTGGTTGCGTGTGGATTTCCTAAGCCACTGTTGGTTGATCCCCAGACCGTATCACTGGTTGACTTGCTGTTCACTGAGCATATTCTCATGTGTAAAGTTCAGCTGCCTTCCTCTGCTTATACTGCTGCACTGATGCCTCTTTTTACTATTCACGGAAGCAGGCAGGCAACGGAAACCTAGTCACATGGACAAGCTGCAATCAGAAAGAGGTTCTCAAGCCCAGGGCCACAGGAAGGCGAGTGCAGGCTCTACAGTTTTCAGCCAGCAGTGCTACTTTTTTCTTCACAAGCCTATGACAGTAATGTTGTTGTGCAGGCAACTAAGTTTGGTAGCACAACTGCTACCGCAAAAACCCAGCAAGAACACACCCTTCACACCTTCGGCTCATTCTGATCAGCCAAGCTACTAGAAAGGAAACCACTCAACACACACACCCTTCCTGCCTGATTTTCGGACTGTCACTGCAACAGCATTACAAAACACTTGCACACACAGAGACAATCAGCTATATGTTCTGTTCACAACGCTTCTAGACCAAATAACATAATACAAAGGATCAGAAAAATTAATAGGCAGCACAAATCATATCATAGTAAAATGATTTGAGTACTGGAGAAGTCCTCTTATGTTTTACTTTCAACTCTACTCAGTCTGGAACATGGCTACTTTAGGTACATTCTCTAAACAGAGTGTTTCTCTCTGTATTGAGTTGTCGAGTGCAACTTAAGTTTTAGTTGGTCTATTGTTGAACTTCATTTATGTTTCTGATTAGTAGTTGACCATAAGTGCAAGAATAGAGAATTAGGAATAAGGAAGTGATGGTGCTGTCCTTGGAGAATTGATTTGTTGGTGATTCCTTCCCGTTTTCACAAATAACATCTATAAATCTCACTTCTGACTCTGCTGTAAGAGTCCATATTCAGGTTGATTTACTTGTTTGTGTGGAACACTTAAGAGTACTCAAGTAAACTTGAGAGAGAAAGTATATCAGCTGATTATACAAAGTGAAAAACCACAAGTACATGTAAACTTGTGCTCAGTAATAATCAAATGATATAATATACAACAGTCACAGCAGCCAGTTTTCTGCAGTGAGTACTTTTAATACTTCAAGTACATTTTCTGATTTCTGATTTGCAGGGTGGCTGTGGTTCAGCTGTAGAATTGGTGGTTCCAAAATGCCAGACAAGGTGTCCCTGGGCAAGACACTGAACCACAAGCTGATATCTCCAGCATGTGATTGTGTCGACACTTGGGTGTGCACGCAGGTGTGTGGCCAAATAGTGACCACTTTAAACACTTGTAAGTGTACTTCAGAGTATAGAAAAGTGCTAAAGAGCCCATTGTACTTTTTACTTAAGTAACATTGTCAGTACAGAAGTAAATTAGTGCTGCCTGGGCTGCAGCTGCCCCTGGTGGTGGCTGCAGGTGATTGCATCTAATACTCAACAATAAAAAACTAATTGTGTTGAAATTGTTAATATAGTGGTTTTAAATAGAGGAATATGGTTGTGGGAAAATGGTTTACAATGATGTATTGAGGAAGTTATTTGTTGAGATTACAGGGAGGCCTTCCACAGTCCACAGTTAGAAAGCAACAATGGCAAGCAGCACCAAACAAAATCAAATATCCTGTTTTTTTTCCTGTTAATATTTAAAAGAAGATCAAAATTAATGCTACCACTACAAACAGTACTGAGAACACTGATGAAAACAACAACATTGCTAATGCTGAAGCCAAAGTAGTTACAACAGCTAACATTAGCATTAGCAGCACAACAGGACTGCAACAGAGAGCAGCAGCGAGGTCTCTGGGAATCAATAGGTTGCTGCCTCCGCCCATGTTGGAACTACTGGACTCATGGGAGCTGGAGATGAGGAGCCCTTTCAAGACTTAAGATGTAAATCATGGAGGCATCTCAACATGCCGTGAGTTAGTTACATACTAATAATAAAGTGTTTTTGGTTCTGATGAGCTACTGTAAATGTTGTGAATAAGATTATGGCTCGTAGCCAGGACCATGTTATACAAATTTAAATAAACTGAACAATAATTTTACAAAATCTCCAAACATGTAGCATGCAAAACACTAGACAGCATTTTCACTATACTTTAATTTTATGTATAGCAATATAGACATAACCTCCATGCAAATTTTATTCTAAACATTCCCATGCATGCACACAAAAGTGGTCAGGCACATGCACATATCTCAGGCAGCCCCCCATTGAAAGTATGTTCCCACCCACATGCAGTACTTTTATTTATATCAGAACACTTTTACAGTGTGGTATGAGTACTTTTATTTAAGTACAAGATCTGAGTATTCCACCACTGACCAGGGGTTTAAGGTGCCAGTCACACTGTCCCCATCTTTCTCCTTTCATTTCACATCATCAATCAAATGAAAGTAGAAACTGTCTGTGACCATCCCACCCACTCATCTTCTTATACCATGCTTATGGGGAAGTCTTGTGACAATGACAAAAAATAGAAGTTGTCTTGGTTCCCTGGCCATTTCCTGTTTCATGCTTTTATTTTGGCACAGTTCCTGTCTCATGCCATCTTCACCAGCCCCACCTTGACTATGCCCCTGACTGACCTCAATTAGTCAAGTCAAAGTGTTTATTGTCATATGCACAGTATGGAAACGCGTTTCCCTATACAATGAAATTCTTACTTTGCCGTCCACATGAATGAAGAAGTGAAGTACATAAATAAGTAACACAAAATCGAAGGCACTTTAAAACAGCAAATGCAGAGATATATATAATAAAAATATATAAGAATATAATGTAGTCAATAGTGAATGTGCAATTATGCATGTGCAAACTGAGAATGCAAACAATACAGGTCATCAGTACATCATTACATGACATATTTCCTGGTAATAAACTCCTGTCAGCTGTTTAGGAGTATGATGGCAGAGGGAAAGAAAGAGTTTTTCAGTCTAGAGGTCCTGCATTTCACACTTCTGAACCTTCGGCCGGAGGGTAGGGGCATGAACAATCTATTCTAGGGGTGGGTAGGGTCTTTGAAGATGGAGGCAGCGACCCCGCAGTCACCTGTTGCTTGCCGCTACTCTAATAGGAGTGAGTGTGAGTGTATGTGGTTGTTTGTCTACATGTCAGCCCTGTGACAGACCACCGACCTGTCCAGGGTGGGCCCCTGCCTCTTGCCTAGTGTCATCTGTTTGTTCTTCTTAAGATTGTGACATTCACTCTCTATATCTGTTATGGGGATGGGATATTAATTAAAGACTTACCACTCGCCTGGAGTGTTATGGTTTGTCCCCCTGACCAGGAGGGTGAGGGAGAACTGAGGTTGGACTCAAGATTTCCGACCCAGGTGCTAGTAAAAAAGGTGGTTTAATGGGAAAAATACAAAGTAACAAAAAAAAACAAGTAGCACAGTCCATGTACATATAACAGCAAAGCAGGGTGCAGATGGTGAAGGAGACCGGGATGACCAGGGGAAAAGACAGGCTAACAGCAATAAACAGGAGAGTCGGAGGAACAGGACGGACAGGTGAATAAACAAGCTAACCAGGAGGGATGGCGAACCAAAAGGGAAATCCACAGCACAGGAACTGTCAGCGTGGATATCAAAATTAATGTCTAGCTAACCTACTGGAAAAAACATAAAGAGATCCACAGCACAGGAACTGTCAGCGTGGACGTCTAGAGACAAATAACACAAAACAACATAACCAACATACATAATGCGATCCACAGCACAGGAACTGTCAGCATGGACAACAATATGACGTATAATACATACCACAAATATAGGGCGGTTACGGGGTATGCAAGCTAGGTATGTTAAGTAAGTTAAATAAGGTAATGCTTAGCATCCATACTATATTATCCTGGTCTTTATTGTATGGATGCTGAGTCAGCATCCATACTATGTTTTCCTGGCATTTATTATTCTAAAATTCTACTTCAGCATACTTTCAGCTCTTTCAGGTATCAAAATGTTAAACTCTTCAAGGACATTCATGCTTCTCTTCAAAAGTTTTCTAAACTTCATACTTTTGAAATATTTAGTTTTATTTTGAAAATCTTGCTCCATTCAAATGAATGGGAAAATTCAACTTCAGCATACTTTCAGCTATTAAAATGTTTAGCTCTTCAAGAACATTCATGGTTCTCTTCAGAGGTTTTCTAGACTTCACACTCTTGAAATATTTAGTTTTATTTTGAAAATCTTGCTCCATTCAAATGAATGGGAAAATTCAACTTCAGCATACTTTCAGCTATTAAAATGTTTAGCTCTTCAAGAACATTCATGGTTCTCTTCAGAGGTTTTCTAGACTTCACACATCGCATCAGCGACATGGTAGGAAACACAGCATGTCACTGCAGGTACTGTAAGGTGTGAACTGCTATGAATATAGCATCTCACTTTACATTCAAAGTGATACTTTCGATTTATGTTTAGGGTGGGGGTTAAAAATACATGGCTGCCCTAACACCCTTTAAATTTTAATCAAATACAAATTATTTAAAAACACGTTTAAACCCCCATCCTCCAGCGACCGTGTGTCTGCTGTATCCCAAACAGGTGGACCCCGGTCACTGTGGCACTGAGGGCAAAAAAATAAATAAATAAAGCCATGATTAGGTAAGTGGATGACTATGCAGCAATTAGTGCACCATTGACTAGTGTTGAGACATTTTATCTCAGACACTCCTCAAACTACTGCTTAAATACATCCATTCACTAGGCTATAATTCACTAAGCATATTAAAGGTCAAAGCATATGAATCCCACCTGTGGTAGAGTATGTGATGCAATGAGCTGAATGTAAATCTAATGCTGGAGATGCCTTGTACGGGGTGCTTGACCGGACAAACAACCCTGCAAATAGCAGCATACTCTATCAACACTTTTAACTATTTTCACCAATTTTGCATGTCATAACAAAATTCCAATTCTTTCATGCATATCTCGCCAAAAATTAGCCATGAAATATGATTGGATTTCTTACCTTGTCCATGTTTGGGCTTGGAGTGCCCACCCGAACTTTCTCTTGTCTTCTCCGCCATTTGGAATTTTACGTGTAGAGTGTTGTACTCTTCCAACACCACTAGATGGCAGTGTAAGTGTTCATATATGTGGCCAAAAGGTCTCAGTTAAGCAGAATTAACTTCTGTGG